GCCCCTCCCCCCTTTAGAGGAACACACGCTTTGGGCTTTCACCCAAGCCTCATTTAGTATCAAGAGTTAGTCTATAGGACAAGCTCAAAACTTATTAAATATGGAATGGCGCTAGATTGCAAATTTGGACACAAGATGAACACTCATTGTGTTTAGGATAATCTCTACATTCCGTAGATATGCCAAATGAGCAAGTCTAGACACTTTCTATAAATAGCATTTGAGACCGAAATGAGACTAACACAAAGGGCATAATAGCGAGGGTGTTTAGCAGACACGGTAAGCTATCATCTAGTGATATTGAGGGACCAATCTCAATACGTAAGGGCTTTTGTCAAGCTAGTGCAAGACAGAGCAAAAGAAAATTAAAAGCCAGGCCGAGTATGCTCAGCTAAAAACACATAAGAGTTCCTACCTTATGTCCATTTGGCTAAGTATAGATGCTAAGCCCAGTAAACTAACACTTGAACAAAAGGAGCTGATAAAGAGAATTAGCAATACTGACCTTTTGCCATCGTGGCAGTAAGGAAGGAGTGTCCGTAAAGACTGGCTGATAGGTAACTTTCGATACCTAAAGTCACATTCGCGACAAAAGATGGTATGAAAAAAGCCTAGTGTTTTAAAGGGTTTTTTACCTCTCTTTCTTTGTTTATATGTTTATGTGCAAGACCCTCAAGTTGATACATCTACTATAACCTCTAAGTAAGGAGATGTGATGCAAATCCCACCATAAGTGATGCATATAAAAGTAGGCATGAAGGAGAGATGATGAGAATCAATAGTTATGCTTTTTTATTGTCTCAAATATGACTTTGAGTTTTGAAAAGTACTTGTTAACCAATCCTTTTGGACACTCTTTTATTATTATTATAACACAAAGAAGTTGTTATAATTGGATTCCTTTATTAGCTCCTCTTGTGCTACTGGAGTTAATTAGACATCTCAAGTGTACTTAGACCAAATAAGCATAAATACGAAATTCTTACGTACTATTAACTAAATCAAATATAGTATTTGGCACTAAGAATTGTAAAGGCATTATTGTAAGTCAAGAAGTTTCTACTATCTGAAGTGATGTCTCTCTGATACTTAGCTTGGTAAAGAGTTCTCATGGTTAATGACAAAAACCTCACATATTGAGTCTAGCTTCTTATTATGTCCATTAGACACCCTTATTATCATGCCCCATATCTTAGTCTCATTTCAGTCCCATATGCTAATTATGATAAATATCTAGATCTATTAATAGTGTATATTTATGGAATGTAGAAAGTGTCTTGAACTCTCAATTCCTGATCTAGTGCCATTCCGTATTTAATAAATTTTTAAGCTTATCTTAGATACTCACTCTTGGGACTATGGTGAAAGCTTAAAGCACGTGTTCCTCATATTAAGCTACTAGTATGCTTAAATATTGCTAAACACTATTTGACACTATTTTGCATATAAAAGTTAGATATAGGGAGTTGATGCTCATAAGGGATATTAAGTGTATATTGGACCCTCATTTTATAACACAACAAACTTGAAGTTCAACTCCAAAATTTAGGTCCAGTACATTTGTTAGTGCTCTCTCACCTTAAAAAAAAAATATATGTACTTAAATTGTTATAATACATATAGATTTAGCCCCAAGTTGAACACAAAACCAAATGTATAATAGAGATAGTAGTTAAAAGTATGGCCAACCACCTAAAACACTAATGTAACATTTGTTAAGCTATGTTGCCCCTTGTTTTGCATCTAATTTTGGCCTAAGCCCAAGTTTTATACAACTTTGGTTAGTTGCATAAAAAAGAAGTTGTGTTTAGAATATGAATCATATAAATTTTATGCTCTAGTTGGTTTGAGTACCTAGTTTTTTGTGTTAGGCCACTAGTAAGCTAAAATTGTGCTAAACACCTTTCGACACGATTTTGAATGCAAGAGTTGGATTTAGGGAATTAGTGTTCATAAAGGATGTTAAATGTGTATCAAACCCTCTTTTTGTAATGCAATAGGCTTGGAGTTCAGTTCCAAATTCATGTGCATTACATTTGTTGACGCTCTCTCACCTTAAAAAGAAACACATGTATTTAAATTATTATAACACATATATGTGATTCAAAAAATAATATCTTAAACACAACTTCTTTTTTATGCATGGGCATGCATTGGTGCCCACCACATAGCAATGTCCAAGTTAACATTATGTGTGTGAGTTTTTGTATTGTATAAGTTTTGACTCCATGTTAGATTTTTTAACACAATCATTAAGATTTAAACTTTGAATTAGAGTTTGTGAGTATGGTTTTTTTCATCACACGTATTAATTTTTGAATATCTTTTGGATGCTATAGGTTGAACTTGCCACCATTGTGTACTTAAGCCATTTTTTTTATGAGGGTAATGAAAAGCCCTTTACACAATAAACTAACATGCCTAAACATAATAAATTCACTATAATGCTAAAAATATGTATATTCGATTAGGAATGCAAAGTTCTACTTCATTGCCTTTAGAACACATGTCTAAAAGCTTTACTACATCAACAATAAAATCCACTTGTTCACAGAAAATCTATTGCACTCAACATTTTAAGCATCCAAAAAAAAGCTTTACACTCACCTCTATGCCTCTACCTCAATTGCCACTATGCCAATCAATTGCTATATAAATCAAGGTGTTGCACAACAAATAAATTGTGAAAAATGAAAAGCACTTCCAAGAGCAATCAAAGTACTATGTTTATAGTAGTATGTGCTACAATTGAAATATGCCCTCAAGCCACGTCAAACAAGGCATAGCCATACAAAATGAGGGGCAAATAGAACATATGCAAAGGAGATAAATCTACACTTAATGAGACAAGAATAAAACAAAAAAACCCTCATTAAATTTGCAATGCTATCATGTTGTTTTAGATTATGTGACATTAGTTTCTTTTAAATTTCATACCCCATACATATATGGTATATCCCATGACAACAATATTATACACACAATTATATTTTATTTAGCAATTGAAAAGTGATTGTGTGCATAATATTTTTGCATGCAATTAAAAAATAAAATAAAATTCACACATATGTAAATATATAATGCTCCTATGCATTTCTTGTGATACTTAGAATATGCTTGAATAACTTTCCTAAACAGTTCCTAGTAATTTCAATCAGATTAATCATGTATTTATAAACTACTAATTATAAACTATTGACATAAACACATTTTTAAATATGGGTTTATGCTTCAACATTCTAAAATATTAAACAGTAGCATTGGACTATAATCACTTATATAATATGATATAAGTTTGTTAAGAGATGTAGATGTATGATTACTCAAAGATTTAATTATGGAATATAAAATAATATCAATAAGTTTGGAGCTCTTATCAAATTTCATTATGGCAAAAGAAAAATATAGTTTAGTAGTGTTATCCTTGTTTAATAATATTATTAATCCATGCATCAAATTATTATAAACATCCCACCAAACATTAACATTTACCCTATTTAGTCTTAGAAAAAATGCATAATCTTAAATTATTGAAAAAATGGGCGTGCTCAGGAATCATATGATACCGAGTATATTCTCTAAGCCTAACCAAAAATCTCCAACATTAAACCGAATATACCCTAGAACCCTACATTTCCACCAATGTCGAGGATCATCGCTGCCGCCAGGTTTGTCACTCCACCCCGATCGCGCTTCCTCTCCACCGCCGCCAGGACCGCCACCACCAGCGGCGGCGGCGGTGGCGATGATCGCCACAAATTCTCGCTCTGCGGCCCACCCGCGGCCCCCAAAAGTCCACTCATGGGAACCACCGAGAACCTGGGCCTCACCTTCTACGAGTCGGGCTCCGCATGCCTGGATTTCTTCTTCCACATCGTCCCGGTGACCACCGATAAGTCGCGCGTCCAGGAGCTGGCCGCGGCGGCGTGGGCGGAGGATCCTCTCACCACGCTCAAGCTCATCTTCCAGCTCCGGGGCGTCCGCGGCACGGGCAAATCGGACAAGCTCCACTTCTATGACGCCGCGTGCTGGCTCTACGAGCACCACCCTCGCACACTCGCAGCAAACATCGCCAAGGTTGCCCCGGTTGGCTACTTCAAGGATCTCTTGGAGCTCGTCCAGAGGATATTAGAAGGCGAGGAGGTGACCGAGCAGAGGATCGAGGAGAAAAGGCAGCACAAGCGGAGGAAGCCACCGAAAGAATCGCTGATGAGCTCGACGAGGGGCTATAGGAGGAGCTTGTTCTCCTGGACGAAGCCATCGGGGAAGAACAAGTGGGCGAGAGCATCGTCCAAGCTCAAGATCGGCACCAAGGAGGACAGGATCGCGGCCAGCCTCAAGAGGGACAAGCTGTTGAAGCAGCAGGCGTCGGAGCTTCGCAGGAGGAAAGCGCTGGAGCTGGCCAAGCGCGTGATCGAGCGGCACGAGAAAGATGACGAGTTCGCGGCGATCTACTCGGGTGTTGCGCGTGTTTTCGCCGAGGCTCTGGACAAGGACATGGAAGCGCTTCGCAGCGACAAGGAGAAAGCGAGGCTCAGCCTCGCCGCGAAGTGGTGT